TAGTGCTTGATCACGCTGAGTTGTCCATGGTCCACGATAAACTAATCTAAATGAACACTGGAAAGGCCGGGCAAAACAACAAAAATTCGATCCGATTTCTTTGCATACTATAACTAAATCTGCACCTAAAGATATTAACTAGAAAATTTATAGATCTTTTTTAGGGTATCAGCAAAATTTCTATTCGATCATTATGTTGTGGTTTTGCCTGACTTTTACATTTTGTGATGCAGGCTATTGTTGAAAATTGTAACCGGTAGTTTACTTGGAGTTCTCTAAAAGCCGATGATTTGAGCTAAAGGAGCCAACGACCTTGTCCGTCGGGTTTCACCGTACCAACATTTACCTCCATGACCTTAAATCCTCGTAATAGTGCGTGTTCCAGAAACAGCCTAACCCTTTTTTCAACAATCGACCATTTTTATTATTAAGGTTGTGGGTATGGTCTTTGGATTAAAGTATACTTCCAAAGATAAAGCGACGGCATTACACCCACGAAGTGAAATGTTCGCTCAAAATCTATCGTTTTGCACGGTGGAAATCGGCTTAAAGACGTCTTATATGGATTTGTTTTCTACTATTTTGCATTCATTTCAAGTTGCAAAAGTTATGATGTCGAGATAACATATGATAAAGAAGTTTTTTAGAACTCTCAGTTCTTGAAGAACGTGAATAAACCTTTAAAATTATCTTTGGTGCATGTCACCATAGGTTATAGATTACTTGAGTTATACTGACAAGAGACAGTAAACATTTTGTTTTAGATATCGCGCTGCTATTGACAATATTATACAATCATTTCATTATCAACTCGTACTTGTAACTTGTTTAGCAGACTATTATTGACACTCTTAACCCTCGCATGATGACTATTACAGAGCTGTGAATAGTGCTGTCGAGTAGATATTATAACACAATCACTAACCTCAGAACAGTACGTATCTTGGATATTTCGTTGGAGCGGTATAAGTTGATATTCTTTGAACGAGCTCTGTCGTTGCGAATGACTCATCAATCGTCTTTGCACTAGTCTTTCCGTCAGGAATTATCAAATGCTGCCTTTGATTGGGTGAGCTCAGTATAAACAAGGTGTGTCATTGCCAAACGCCGCCTAAAGTCATGTGATGAAGAAGCTGAAATAGAGTGCATATTACATAATATATCAATAGACTTGTGTGTATTCTGCAAAAAAGAAAACATAAGGTAACTACGAATGTGCACAGAAGGTTGTTATTAACTATTTAACTTTGCAGACAAGTTCAGAAAATATAAAAGATATCATAGACGGAGAAAAGTCAAAATCACAAGAAAACGAATTAAATACATGATATAGCGAACATTTTCGGTTGTTGTCTATTATCATCAGAAGTGGTTATGTAATTCTGCTATTATGTAATATTATCATTTAAACACCTCCTGGTGGACAAAACGTGAGGTTTGTTTCGGGTCATTTGACGTTTTGTCCTTGATGTAAGAGAATCCAGAGAACTAGAGGATTCCAGATTCCAAGCGCTGGATTCCGGATAAACATTGGATTCCGGATTCCAAGCCTTGGGATTCCGGATTCCACAGAATTTTTGTTTTGGATTCCGGATAATAAATGGCGTGATTTTCAGTGTCTTTTTTTTTCCTGAAAATTTTATATTCAGCGTGTCAGTAAGTTGCGCAGGGCGCTGGCAACGCAAGGTAGCGCGTCACTAATTTGCATTGTCTCCAGTTGTCGCATGCTGACAAACAAACTACGTATATGACATGTATATAAAGTACAGTAAAGTACAGCATATCAGTTGGATGTACGTTCTCATCTCTAGACAACTAGATTTTCACCGATAAAAGCAATCTTCCTAACTATCCAGATTATAGATTCCAAATACTTGGATTCCGGATTCCAGGATAGGGATTCCGGATTCCAAAGCTGTATTTTTACTGGATTCCGGATTCCGGATTCTCTTACAAGTCGTTGGAGTCAAAGTTATGGGGAAAATATGGGCCGATGCTGAGTATATACATGTAGGATGCATTTAGGATCATCACTGGCTTACGGAAAGTATGATCATGTCACACCTTCTTCAGTCAACAACTTAACTGGCTTACAGTAGAGGAGATGCTTAAATTTAGAGACACTGTTATGGCATATAAATGTGTTAATAACTTAGCGCCTGAGTACCTTTGTTCAAAGCTTAAAAAGCGATCTTCTGTTAATGACCGTGTAACTCGAAATAATAAAAAACTTCACATTCCTTTATTTAAGTCGTCAAATGGTCAACGTACTTTTTCTTACAGAGCATTGTCCCTCTGGAACTCTCTAGATACAAATCTGCAATTATGTAATTCTGTTAAGGCCTTTAAAAATATTCCTTGAAAAACAACATGCTAAGAAAGAGCCATTACCAGTAATCAATCGATTATTTTAATCTTCTCTTAATTATTTTAATCTACACAGGGCGTCATTTCACAATCGGCATGAGATGAAGTGTTACATAACAGGCAAGATACACTTTACAAAGTCTAGAAAATTGCGCAATATTAGGTAGAAAATGTTTTCCTGCTAGCAGAGTATCTCTCGTAGTCTCCGACGAGTAATCCAACTTTCCTGTTATGCAATTGAGACGTTTGTTGGTCAAAGTTAATGCAAGTTTGGATGTCATCAAAATGTTTTCTGTGTTGCTGAATCACGTGTGTACATGTAGTATTCTAGTATATTGTCCTGTTGGTCACGTTGCATACGAATTTTGGCACGTTTTTAAGTTTTAGGACTAATTTCCTTTTTCAACAAAATCAACAAAATCAGCGCATGCGCACGAAGCTATGATAGTAGTAGGCATGCGCACAATGAAATGATAAACTGCATGGTCAACTACAATAATGGGGGAAAAGCGTTTAGAAAGTGTCTGTTCATGTTGGGACGATACTTTCCCCAAACTTAAAGAGACAGATTACTTTACGAGCGATATTTTACGAACGAATATTGCGAGAGAACAAATTCTATCGTGAATGATCAGGAGGAGCCGACCAGGTCTGTTCTTCTAAATAACTGTTCTTATACGTATTTTCTCCTGGGAAAGTGATTTAGAACTAGAATTTTAAATTGGGAAAAACTCTCCCTTACGGCCGTTAAAACACTTGAGTATTTAAAGGGGTACTTGGACTTAATATATGGTCGTTTTTGAAAAACTTGTAATATTACGTCTTAGCCGCTGAAACTTTCTCAACAAAAAGATAAATAAACAAGAAATCACTCTTTAAAGTTTCATTTCGATATTTCAATGGAAAAGTTTTCGTCCGCCATTATTTTCTCTGTTCATCGATTTGGCTCAGGACTAATGTTGTACCAGTGACGTCATAGTTCCAACACATCGCGAATTAACGAAGCAAATACTTACTAGAAACAAGACTTTATTGTAAAAATGTTGTGGCGTTGCTTAGTTTTGGGCTGTAGAAAGGTAATCAACCTCAAGACAGGACTATCAGTGCACAAATCACCGAGTAACAAGTCTGATTTGGAAAAGTGGAAGCGATTAATGTRCGATTGCACCGCGCCAATTTCAACGGCTTCTTTGGTGTTTGATCGAAGGAGTCGAAAGTCTTATTACTCTTGACGGGGATATTAAAGACATAGATTGGAGAAGGGTTCGATCCCAACAATCTGGGGCTATGAAGAGCCAGCCATGAATAGGCAGTGAACACAGTCATAGAATCTTTATAGCTTGGCGTTTGTTGACTAACTCGATCATCAATAAATTTATTATACACATGACATTTAATATACTTTTTACACGGGACGATTCCGAACGATTCCGAACGCTTTAGATCGCATTTTCCACTGCAGTATTTCTCCGCCATTTTGACTTTTCCAGCGAATATTCCAGAGAACATGAAAGTTTATGCCAAACTCTTGCAGTCATTACTCGTCTGGGTGTTAGGATCAAGGGTATGTTGAATTATGATGACGGAGGAGATCTCAAATACAGAGATCGACACGCCTACTACTCGTGAGGCAACGGCAACGGCCGTGAAAAACGAGCAGACCAGCCAGTTAAATATGGTCAACACGCCTACTACTCGTGAGGCAACGGCAACGGCCGTGAAAAACGAGCAGACCATTCAGTTAAATATATATATATATATATGGTCAACACGCCTACTACTCGTGAGGTAACGGCAACGGATCGACTGGATTAAGAGCATGACACTGAAATCAAACAAGCTTTAAGGTCATATGCAAAAAATGTCAATAGTTGAGTTGTTTCCGTAGAATCAGTGTCGAAGCAAGTAGGGAACTGACAACAAGTCATTGTTGATCCTGTGAGCCTTGTTTATAAATTACTATGGCAGAAGTAAGTACAGTTGAGTTTTACAGTGGTATATTATTATCGATATCATAGACAAGCACTTTATGTGATAGCCAATGTTACCTGCTAAATAAATGGCTCTGCGTGCAGTTGTACATCAGTTTTTGTGCCGGCTTTGAATAATATCTCTTGAAAAATAAACTTGGTTTCTTGAATATTTCATCTCAGTTACAATGATTTGGTGAAGTTTCATGTAAATATCTTATACATAACAAAATTTGCGTGGTTGAGTTAAGGTGTAACTCGCAAAACAAACTCATAAAATTACATGAATGAATCATGATGAATTCATAGTTCCGACAAATCAAACTCGTTATCCGCGCACGCTGGATTGGCCATGCAATCAAAATAGAGGACACGGAGGGCGAAGTTGAGATGGTTTTGAGATGTTGCTGGGGCACTTGTAAAGCAGATGAGCGCTAGCCAGCCAGGTGAAATGGAGGACGATTTATTTGAGGGTCTCAATGGGGTGGTACGCATCACGACTCCCGGCTAAAAATTTGGCGATTTCACGACTCACGACTAATTTTTTCGAATCACTGTTAACTAGATTAAGAAATTTTTGAATTACGTTTGCATTACTTTTTCTTTTTTTCGTATGAATAGACTGCTTGACTTATTCTTACAGACATGGATTTTCTCTTTCAAATAAGCCGAAATGCGACTATTTCCACGAAAAAATGCATGATTAATCATAAATTCATATACAAGAAAAATCCAAAAAGTGTTAGCAGGTATTGAGAACATAGTAGTGACATTGCTGCAGTCCGTGTCTGACATCGGAGTTTACGAAATTTCATTAAGTGTCGCTTTCGCGATGATGTATTCTATGCCGGGCTAAATGTGCATGGTAAAATCAGGAAGTTTGTAGCGTATTCATATTATTATTTGACTCTAAACAAAATTATAGTATTTTAAAATGGAGCAGATTTAGTTTCTTGTCACACTTAGCGTGACGCAGGCACTAAATGAGTGGGAGTTTTAAAATGTACAAAACAAATCCCAAAAATACTATCTAAGAAAGAAAAACCCTTTTATAACTAATTATAGTATTTTAAAATCGATATCTTATCTAATCACAGAAAA